CAATCCACTTAAAAGACAAGCAAAGGATACTACCAAAAGAAGAAATGTGAATTGCCCAAAGTATGTAAAGATTCTTTATCATATCAGTAATCAGAGTAATAGAAATTAAAATTGGAATGAAACATTACTTCACACTCACCAAGCAGGTAAAAATTTCATCTGACAATAAAAAGTACTGTTGATGCCATAGACTAATGGGAGCCCTTATTCACTTCTAGAAATATCTAATACATAGAAGGTGCATATACCTTAAGAGTCATCAATTCTATTCCTAGGACTACATCTTGAAAAGGTAGCTGTTTCGATCATCACACATACTTTACACTGTGACGGCGTACACACACACTTCCTTATTTAACTGAAATGAAAATTCACAAAACAGTACTTATTCTTACTATGTGTGACACATTCTGATAGTTTCCATCCTATTCTCATTCATTTTAAATGGTAGGGTGACTCACTCAATTGCTTTTGCAACCACTAGTGGGTAAACACACCCCTTTCAAAAAACTCTGCCCAGAAAATATTCTCCTGTATCTTCTTGTGCAAAGGTAGGAGAATGTCCATATGACACTTTTGACAAAATAAACACCATAAAAGTCAATCAGTAGGATTATAAATAAAAAGTTTGGGGCATATTTATACAATGGAATATGATAAAGCAGTGCAAATGAAAGAACTAAAATGGTATCAATAGGGAAATCTCATAAACAGAAAACTAAGCAAGTCAAGCAAGTTGCAGAAGAATACATACATTACATCATTTATATAAGCTTTTTAAACATGCAAAATAATACTATATATTGTTTAGAGATAGATTTATACATAATGAATATATAAAGTAAAAGATATGAAGAGGAGAAAGGGAAAGATTAGAGAAGAATACAGAAAAGAAAGCAAAATGGAAAATCCAAATGAACAGCCAGACACTAGAATGGTTCAAAGTTCCCAACTTCAAAATTAAACTATTGCCTTCCAGGACAGCAGTGTCCTTCCAGGCACAAAGCTGGTAACAAAGGCTCAGCCTGCTAGAGGCAGTTAGAGAGACTAAGGCAACCAAACTGAGATCAGTCTTCAAAGCTTACAGCACTCATTTTTTAAAACTGTTCTATTTAGTAATCAGGACATGGATTATCTATTTTTAACTAAGTAATGAAATTCAGAACATGGACAAAAAATGCAACAGGTAGTTGTAGGCGGATGAGATGTCACAGCAGATGCCCCAAACACAGCCGTGTGCCAGTAAGGTTGAGTCACTGTGATATGCTGAAAAAATATTAAGTTCAGCTGCCACAGGTTGCAGTGAGCCCTCTCTGCTTTCCTCTGTGTTATATTTGCTAGGCATCATTCCAGAATGCTGAACACTTAGACATCATCAAGAATTAAAAAAATCACTGAAAATGACAAAATATGGCATCTTACAAATAGCACATGCTTGTGATCAAATTAACACAGGGCACAAAGCTAATAAACATTTAAAGAGCTCATGGAAGGATTCCTTACAGTTAATAACTTAGCCTCTCCAGGTCTCAAAATATATTTCACCTAAAAGAGTAAAGCCAATACTGTTAATACACTTCACTGTGACTTAAAAAACATCAACTCATCTGCCAGGAAATGTCATATAAAAAGGTTACACGTAACAGAATTCAAGCAATAAGCCAACAGCATAATAAACATGCTCCCAAGTCACAAATTCATATCATTCTAACCCCTAAACCAAGCAACTTCCCTAGAAAACATCTTACCCATTCATTCATTCAACCCCTGTTTACTATACTACATATGAAAGGTGCCACAATAGACCTTAGGAGACATAAAAATTAAACAAAAACCCTGTCTTTAACATACTGATAGGCCAGCAATCAGTTTAGAAAAACACATTGTCTTAGATTTGGTGGAAACTAGGTGCCATAAGAGAAATAAAGATGAACTGTTGGTTTGTTTTGTTTTGTTTTTTTTTTAAAAAAGGCTTATTTTGAATAGCTTCCTGCCTACCCCCACTATGAGACAGATCTAGACTACAGACACTTAGACCTCTTCTCTTCAAGGGCAAGTAGTCATATATAATAACAAGACTGGCTCTTGTGAGCTCTAAAAATCAGTGTCTTCTTTTATGCCTTCCATGTGCCATGTGTTCTATATGGTATGCCCCTTTGAGTTAACAGAAATCGCTAACGTAGCTCCCAGTTCTCATCACTGTGAGTACTGCTGATCTAAAAGAAAGGAAAATGTAAAAAAGTGACACACCAGAAAGAAGCCATTTTTTTTCCCTACTCTGCCTCTGTTTTGCTGTCTAAACTCTAAGGAATCCACACTTGCATTGATGGGAGGATTGAAGAAAGAATTACTAATGAGTTTCTGAGCAACTTTCATGAATCTTTCAGACACGTACTACATAGAAAGGTCTCAACAGTGCTCTAGATTAAAAAGGCTTTTCACATCATTTTATGTGTAGCAATTTTGTTAATGTAGGTGGAGGTATTTTTATTCCTTTTATATATCTAAAGAAAATACTTTCCATAAGTAGTAAATGTTATTAAATGCCATTTCAAATATTTTTCATAGAGTAAGAACAGACAGGTCTAGTGGATTCATTTCAAATTTATCATCAGATCCACTACCTGCACTTAAAAACTCAACTAAGCTTTCAGGAATCTGGGAGCACCAAAGAGGGAGTCTGCAGAATAGTCAAATGACTATTCTGATGAGCCGCTGCTCTCTCAGGATGATGTTGATAAAATGGGTAAGAAATTCAAGTTTAAGTCATATCACATAAACCAGTTCCCATCACATCTTCAGAACCTCTGAAAAGAATGTCTGTGACATACTGAAGAAGAAAGATTCATACTATGTCCTATCCATTCAGGCCAGTAAACGTCCCTGGCTCATGGGTTTAATGATGACTTTACTGAGATATAATTCACATACCATAACAGTCACTCTTGCAAGTTTATAATTCAGTCATTTTTAGCATATTTACAGAGTTGAAATAACTATCACCACTAATTTTAGAACATTTTCTTCACCCCAAAAAGAAACCCAATACCCACTGGTTAAATTGAAGAATATATCGGATCTTTGATAAAACATTCTATTTCAAGGACGTGTCCAACAAACCTAATCTTCTTTATCTTACTACTAAAGAAAGTATACCCGAGTCTTCAAGTTAGTCAAAAAAAATAGCAAGATTTATAGCGGAGAAAGGCAAAAGAGCTTTAAAAGGAAAGCTAAAAAAAGAATTACGAATGCAACATTTCTAGTAAGAAAGTGTTTTCTAATGCTCAGTGAAATAAAGTCAGAAGGAAAAAAAAGAATCGGATGGTTTCACTTATAGGAGGAATATAAGGGAACCAAATAAGGCATTAGGGGAAAAAACAATAACAATAAAAAACATAACAAAACAAAAATAAACAAACACTATAAATCTGAGACATTCTGCAGGGGTGGGGGAGAGAGAGGGATCAAAATGAGGGAGGGAAGAGCACAGGGGATTATGGTGATGGTGCACAGGTAAACTGGTGATGGAAATTCTATGGGGACCACACCTGAAAAAAGAAAGCAAACATTATAAAAAAATGAACAATGATATAAAATATATATAAATTAAAAAAAAGAAAGGAAAGTTCTTTTAAGAAAATAGCAGTTACATGTCAAAAGGATACAAATCAACTTGACCGAGCTCCCTATAACAAAAGCTAAGACAACTGAGCAACAAAATGAAAATAGTATTTGGATTATAACCCATAGAATAAAATACCTAAAAACTCATACCAACATAAATAAATAATTGAGGGAGATAAATAAGTAAAGGGTCCCTTACAGTAGAATTCAAATTAATAAATGTGGAAGGAATTAGAGAAATCGAAAGTCACTCTTAGACAATCACCAAAGTAATAGTAGTATAGTAAGAACCATGAATGAATGTAAATTAGTAGAAAAGTATGATGAGAAACAGAGTATCTCCACAAACTCACAGCATCACCCACAAAACACTTACTTTTTGTAATTTCTAACTTTTTGCACTTTTTTGTAATTGGAATGGGAAGGTCAATTCACTGTACAGTGGAGAAACTTGGGAGACACAATTTTAACCAAGTGGTCAAAGCTAATATACCAGTAACAAGATATATGATGTCATATATTCCTGAGAAAGGCGTAACACCACTTAGTAGTATTCGTAGGGCGAAAAGATGTTCCTCCCTCTGATTTAAATAGGAAAACATTAGACAAATCCATATTAAGTGACATTTTACAAAATAACTAACCAGTGCTTTTTTGAAGTGTCAAAATCACAAAAGACAAAGACAGACAGAAACTTTCACAGGTTGAAAAGACTGAGAAGTCATGACAATTAAATGCAATTTGTACCTTACATTGGATTCTGGACCAAAAAAGACATTAGAGAGAAAACTGGTAAAATTCAAATAAGACTTATAGAGCAATTAACAATATTATAGCAACTTTAATTGCTGTAATAGTTTTCTAACTATCCTGCAAGTCTAAATATATTTCAAAATAAAAAGTTGGGTTTTTTAACATAACATTTCTAGGTGTGATATCTTACCATTTTAACCCCACTCTAAAAAATGACTCATCTGGCTAACGAGTATAATTCTCCTATTTGGCTTTATTATCAAATGATGTCAGATTCAGAATTTCAAAACCTACATCTCGTAGACTGGATAGCATGGGACATAACAAGAAAACAAGTATGAATGAAAAACGCACTTGGTAAATTAAAATGGCACACTGTAAATGAAGAGATATGTCCCCCAAAAGACCCAAATATTCTGATCATAAAGCAATGGCCCAGGATACAAATAAAACAGATTGAAACAAAATGTCAAGAACTGAGCAAAATCGACTGAATCAGCGTATGAGAATTCCTGACTAGATTCCTGCAATGTTCAATTTTTGAGAGTCTGGGGGAGAAGGTTTATTATTAGGCATGGATTGGATTGTTCTGGTACGTTTGTTAAATTAGTTCTGGTACATACCCAGATTTCAAGTCAGTTATCCTCAAACAGTTTGTAGCATCCAGTCCCACTTTTCCATTGCGAACCACACTAGATATGAATGGGGAGAGCATTGGAGAAATTCGGTTCAAGGCCACTTCTGGTGACATTTTAACTTGACTTGCAAATCACCACTGAAAGCAGAAGGAAAGAATGGTGAACAGAGTATGCAAAGAACGAGATAAAACAAGCTTCCTGAAAAGTGGCAAAGCACACAGAATATGCCCTTGCGTGAATACTTCATTTCCAGTCTTTGTAGCAGCCTCCTCTAATTATTCTGAAGACACCATCCCCGGATGCTCACCTACTCAGGAGACAGACTGAACCACTGACAGCTCTTCGGGATCAGAGGCAACCCTTGGACTCCAACTCCCTCCTTTCCCAAGTGGTTCCCTCACTGCCACACACTACTTGGAGCTACCCCATTCGATCTCACAAATGGCAGGTTTCTTTAGTTGTGGCTTTATAAAGCCCTCACTGACAGTCTTCTCCCCCAGCACACAAAATACATACACCAGGAATCCCTCCCTCTGTGTACACAGGAGTAAGAACTTGATTGATGATAATACTATACATGTTCTAGAAGAAGCACAACCTGCCTGCAATTGTTATTGCTGATGTGCCACACTTAATAGTTGTCCCTCCACGGTGTATTAAAATACCTGCTTAGTGATGTCTCTCCTATGTCCTAAATCCCTAGAGTTTAATGAAAGTATATGGCACTCACTCAACAGCCATTAACATTTTTTTAATAAATAAATGAATAAGGAGGCAAAAGCTAAAGAAAGGTTTAGGTATAGAGAGAATATGCTCTTAAAAAATTTGGTAGAGGAATAAATGAAGCAAAAATCTACTCAATAATCATGAGGGTGCATATCTATTCTACCCACATATTAAGCAACATAAACCAACAGGAATCTAAGTGTCTTTGATTTTAAGGCACTAAAAAGCTCTTACCCTTGAAAATACAAAAGTAAAACTAATAAAACATATCTAAATTACTTGCAAACCCATGGGACTGTGAGGAGGAGTACATGAATTCCTCTTAATAGATTTCTAAATGAAAACCTCTCCCTTCAAAGGTGAATAAGTCAAATTAAACAATCATTTTCTTCCTCAATCTGAAAGGATAATCCCACATCAAAAGGAAATTAATTTCCTGAAAGTTAACAATTACAAGTAAAAGATGTTCTGATTCTAGCTTTCATATATTATGCCATGTGGGACTAACAGGTCCCTGCTAAACTCAATGTTGAAAACTAGCACCTGTTGTAATCACTTCAGGTAACAAAGGAAAGGACTTTCAAAAATAACAGCACCTGACACCATATGGCGATGACACCCAGAAGCACCTGAGGCAGTTAAAGCCTTTGCACTTGTTACTTTTTACCCGAATCATCCTTTCTGCAAATATAAAACAAGCTTCTCCTATGACCACCTAACAGGTGACCCCCCTCTACCACTGCAAAGTCATCACAACGTAAGAGCAAATATCTTAGTTGAGTGTATTATCAATCATAAAAATTATAAACATTTTTATCACATCTTATGACTTATAACAAGCTTCCAAATACATTATTGTGGTTGATCTTCACAAGCCTGGACAGTAACCTAGGCATCAGAATTCACACATCACAGATGACATGGAAAACTTTTATAGTTTGCCTTTGAACAGTATTCTAACCCATATCATCGTTTTGAAGCCTATTTTTTTCTATTCTGCAACATTTCCACCTTTATTTCTATCCACTGATGTCACAGTTCTCAAAAGGATGTTTATCTAGATTATAAGCAAAACACAGAAATACTCATCTTGGAAAAATGCAAAAGGACCTACATGACAAGATATTTTCCCATGTTTTTTTCCCGTGATACTTATTATTTTGCCTCTCATTTCTATGAAAAGGGGAAAATGAACCAAGACAGTCTAAACACCCACTCAGTATCAGGCACCATATGACCCACCTCTATATAGAATTTCATTTACTTCCCTCCAACACCCCTATTCTCACCATTATTGTTCCCACTTCACAAGTAACACTAAGGCTCAGCAAGACTAAGAAACTGGGTCAGTCACAAACCTAGAGCAAACAGAAAGATCAGAATTCAAATCCAGATCTCCCTCAAAGTCCACTATGCCCATCCTCCTCTCAAACATTGATAATTTCAATCGCTAAAGAAAAAAGGAATTCAAAGTAAAATTACTATTTTTTAAAGGGTACATCTTATAAAACATGAACAGACCAAAAAATCGTAATTTAAACTAATATTTGTTTCAAAACTAGAAACAAATGAGACCACTGCTGTCCTACTGCTAAAGCTGCCCCACTGACTCCCTCACCAAATGCTGAAGGAACAAAGCTGTCCCAGAAGCCAAACTATACTTAAAAGGACAACCCATTCCAATTCAGCAACTGTCATGACCTTAGAATGACATCTGAAGCAATGAATTTGTCTTTGTTTCCATAATACTACTTTTTGACAGTTCAAGATTTCATGCAGCGTTAAAATCTGTTTCAACAGTGAAGTGTTGTGACTTCGGGGGTGGGGCGGGGGGCATGACTCCAAATCAGAGATCACCAAGCAGTCAGAGATGACTGCCCTTCGGTGCGGTCCTTTTGAGTTGGGTCCACAGATGGAGGAATCAGCCCCCTGCCCCGGTAGCTTTTACACATCCCAACACTGTAACAGTTCACAGATATGCAAGATTTTAAGGTAGCCGGCCTCCCTTGAATGCTAGTTGTGCAATTAGTATTTCCTGATTTTGACTGATGACAGAAAGAAAATGCAGAAATACAATTTTAGCAGAGGTCTGCTGCACCAAAACAGGGTCACATAAGGTTCTCTGATGCGCAACCTGGGGAATACAAAGACGACTGAAGCATCGTCCAGCTTCTTGCAATTAGGACGGGATGACAAACACGGAAACATGTGCCCTGCTTACGTCATGGAACGGAAAGGGGTGGCGTCCGGCTGCGTCACGTCCACGTCATACAGCGCACGAGGGAAGTTACACAGGGGAAGCAATTTCTCCAAGGGGCAACATTCAATAAAAACAAGTCGGCTCAGACCGAAATGATGACCACCCCGCTCTAGGGGACACTCGCCCTTCTCGCAATTGTGGGGAACCCCCTCCCCATCAGGCGGGAAGGAGGCTGAGCTCCAGCAGGGACCAGGAGGCGGGTGCGAGCGGGAGAAAGAGCAGCCTCTCGCCACGAGGGCTGGCTTGGAGGGGACCAGCATGATGGGGATGAACAGGGCATCTCTGGAACAGGGGCCTTCTCTATAGGAAGTGGGGGGCGAGCCCCGTGGGCATCTTTAAAACACGGCCTGAGCGCCACCTGTGCGACTCGGGATCCAACCTCCCCGCACCAGCCCCAGTCCAGGTACCTGGAACTTAGTCGGATCGGTAACCGGCGACTACGTGGGGTACAGGTTACCCGAGCGCGCCCCCGACCGACGCACCGACTGCGCGCGCACCGCGGGCCGGATGCGTGCGCGCCCCCGGACGTCCCGCCCCGCCCCGTCCCCGCGGCGGCCGGAGCGGGCGGCGTGCGCGCCCCCGCGGCGCCCGGAGAGGCGTCCGGGCCGCGCCTGAGCGTTCCGCCCGTCGCGCCTGCCGCCGGGGAGGCGAGCGGCGCCGAGTCGGGGACTCTCGGGAGGGCTCTGTAACGCGAGGCGGTGCGGGGAGGCGATGCCTGAGAGGACGGGGGAGCCGCGGGCGGGCGGGCTCGTTTCGGGCACTCGGGTGGGCGACCCGCAGAGGCGTTGAAGGCCCGCGTCGGCCGGGAGCGCCGGGCGGCGTCTCTGGTGACAGGGTCGGGCCTAGGGCAAAGGTCAGCCTCTACGTGGGGGCACTCCGGTTGCCATGGCGGCGTGCGGGGAACCCGGCGGGCAGTGGCAGGAGCAGGTGGCGGCCGTGGTAGTGGTGGGCTCCTGCATGACCGACCTGGTCAGGTTAGTCGGGGCCGGGGCTCGCAGGCTGCGGCGGGCGGGCGGGCCGGGGGTGCTGGTTGGCTCGGGGGGTGAGCTGTGGGTTCTCCCCGTCTGCAGCCTGCCCTCCCCGGGGAGGAGGCAGACCTTGGGCTTGTCGCGGGGAGGGACAGCGCTGATGGTACTGCGGACGCCTGCAAGGATCTGCTGCTGTTCCCTGGACCGGGCTGCAGAGCCCTCCCCGCCTGGCCGAGGGACGGACCCATTTTATTTAGCCCCGAGTGTGCCTACCTCACAGGGCTGTTGTGAGGATGAAGGGAAGTAAAGTGTTTGGTGAAACAGAACACTATCCAGGTTGGGTATTTTTTTTTTTTTTAACTTCTATCAGATGCTTGGAGCAGAGGTCAAAAAAGGGCGATCCGCGTTGGTGGTTGGCATTCCTGCTCTGTATTTCATGTTTACAGCTTGTATTTCCGTGTTCTAGTAACCATGGGTTAATTTATGGCAACCCAATCTTAGACAAAATAAAAACACATAAACACAATACTTGCAACCATTTTTTTAAGGTGATCAAATATGAAAATATACTAAAGGAGAGCGTTCAGCTAATCGGAGGTTGAGGCGATCTTCCAATTTATCTTTTTTACATAAAAGTGGTTTTCCTCTTCATACAAAGTATTCTACTTTTTTTCCTAGTCGTCCAAGAAAATCCTACCATTAAGATTGCTTCAGTTTAATACTTAGGTGAATAGTTTTAAGATACAATGCTGTTTTTAACATAAAAATAAAATTGGTTCTGCATTTGTCCCACAACCTTGCTTTTCCAAAGAATATCAGCGCATCTGGAAATAAATAATAAATTGGCCATAAAGCAATCAAAGTCACCAAACCAGCTGTGTTTTACTTAGAAAATAATTCTAGGGTTTCACATAACCAATTGCTAAAAATAGTTATGAGCTAGGTTACCAAATTTCCAAACTGTGGGAGAGTGGAAAAGAAAGGAGACAGTTAGGGGCAGGTGCAGTGATTGCCAGAAACCTGAAAGTGAGTAGAAGGGTGTATGATGGTAAGCAGCAAAAGAATTTGTAAATGCCAGAAGCCTTTTATTTTTCCACAAATATTTGAGCTACCACCTTTGCAGACACTGTGCCAAGACACACTTGCTTCCTTTAGTGACCCAGCATTCGGTTTTCAGTCTGGTTGAGAACATTCAGTGAAAAGGCCTACACAAGCTTTTCTAGAGCTAGAGTCAGCAAACCTTTCTGTAAAGGGCCAAATAGTGAATATTTTAGGCTTTGCAGGCCACCTGTGGTCTATGTCAGATTTTTTTAACAACCTTTTAAAAATGTAGTAACTGTTCTTACTGACTGAGCTTTACTAAAGCAGCCTGCCAGCCATAGTTTGCTGACTAAGTGTCACTGTCTTACTGCCCACCAGAGTGATTGACGTAACTCGGGATGACTCTTTTCAAGGAAAGGTAAATGTGGTTCTCATTAAATTTTATATAAAAATAGGACATGTGTTTCATTTTAGAAATAGTTCCTTCAAAATATTTAAAGTTGAGTCACATAAATCAACCTTCAGTGAACTTTGACACAACTAGAATAATTCATTCCTTAGAAAATGCATCTAGCTAAATTTTACCATACTTTTATAGGTGAAGTGGCAGAAAAGTCAGAAAGTGAAACAATTTTCCCATGAATCCTATCTGGATAAGAGAGTTAGAGCTAGAATTCATGGCTACTTTTTTAAATTGAACTCAGGGCTTTCAGATGTTACAGATAATTATAATACTTCCTAAAGTGAATATTCTTCAAATTTGGGGGAAGGTGTTAAAGGTCCATGTTAGCATCTGTCAGAATTTTTAGAGATTTTTGGTTTTAGCCTATTCCTTCATTTACAGAGGAGTAAACTGAGATCCAGAGAAGTAAGAGACACTGACATTTTGAATAACCTTTCTAATTTCTCCTGCCATTTTCTTTTCCTTCATAAAATATATAGGTTTCTACACTTCACATGAATTTTTAGTAAAAATGTTATTCCCTTATGGACTCTCTCCACAAATTCCCACTACTTTCCTACAGTCTTTATGATCTCGGATTACTTCTGACTGATTTGTATGGAACACCTGGGAAATATAAGATTTTTATATAAAACTGATAAACTTGAGTCCAGCTTTGCTAGATATCATGATAGTTTCCTATTGCTGCTGTAACAAATCGCCACAAACAATGGCTTAAAAATACAAATTTAATGCTTCAAGTTCAATTTGTCAGAAATCTAAGATGAGTCTCTGGCTAAAATGTAGGTGTCCAGAAGGAGTGCATTTCTTTCTGGAAGCTCTGCAGGAAATCTGTTTCCTTGCCTTTTCTAGCTTCTCAAGACTGCCCACATTCCTTAGTTCATGGCCCCTTCCTCGACCTTCAAAGCCAACAATGGTCTGTCAAGTCTTTTTCGTGTCTTATCACTGATACTCACTCATTTGCCTCCCTCTTCCACATTATAATAGCCCTTGTAATTACATTGGACCTAACTGGATAATTCAGGATATTCTTATTTTAAAGTAGCTTATAATCAACCTTAATTCCCCCTTGCCATGTAACAATTATGTTTCAGGGATTAGGATTTGGACATTTGGGGGTATGTGTGTGTTTTGAGGGGAAAAGGGGGAAATAGTCTGCTTACCACAGTGATTAAGATTAAAGTCAAAAAGGTGCTGGACCAAAGACTAAAAATGGATTTGCCATATGACCCAGCAATTCTGGGTACGTATCCAAAGAGCACAAAAATACTATTTGGAAAGGAAACTAGCTGTCCTATGTTTATTGCAGCACTCTATGGTAGCCAAGTTAAGGAAACAACCTAAATGCCCCAGACAGATGAGTGGATCAAGAAGATGTGGTCCATACACACAGTAGAATACTACTCAGCAATCAAAACGTTCATGCCATTTGTGGCAACGTGCTTGGTACTGGAAGGGATTGTTCTAAGCAAAGTAAGCCAGAAGGAAAAAGATAAATTTCACTTACATGTGGAATCTAGAGAAACTAAAGGATCAGACAAAGACAAACTTTAACACTGACCTTTGGAAACGGACTATAGATCTGAGACTCAGTAGGGGAGGGGGAGCGAAAAGGGGAGAGAGAAGGGGGGAGAGAAGAGCAGGTGGGGGGGTGGGGGGGAGCCTAGTGGACTGTAGTGGAAAACTGCGGGTTCTTGGTGGTAGGAAAACTGGTGACTGTACCTGAGGGTAGAAATTCTATATTGTGAAAAAATAAAGGTTGTTTTAAAAATATAGTCAAAAAGGTTTATAATACTTAGAATTTGGAGGAGCTTTGAAACCTATCAGTTCATTTTCCACATTTTACAGATGAGGTAAGTTAAATGAGTCACCCCAAGTCACACACACGTAGTTAGTGGCACAATGAAAGCTGGAACCCAGGTTTCCCATCCTTTTCTCCAGCTGTATTGATTGTTCTTTTCCTCTCTGTTCATTTGAGAGTTTACAGTGTGTGTATTCTTTAAGTGTTTATTAGCTGATAAGGAATAACTAAGGGATTACAGTTTCCAGATCTAAAGATAGTATCCTCACACTGTATTTTACTTCTAAGTTTAACTAGCTTGGACACCCATGCCTATACCGTAGAATCACTTTAGAAATAAAAGTACTTCAGTAACTAAGCCCTCTTGGACAGCATCCAAGTCCAACTCACTTTACATATTCTATTACTGTGCGCCAGACACTACTAATTCAATCACTGACCGGTTTTTTTCATCTCCAATTTCAGTCTGCTATGAATCGTGTACTAACGACTTTTTTATATTAGTTCATCTAACATGCAAATATGACTTAATACCCACCTGTATCATAGCCTGCCTTCTTCAACACCGATCGCTGAAACTCCACATTAGAGATAAATCAAGCCTGTTCTTGTGGAAAATTAAGTCCGTTCCTCCAAAGACAGATTTCCATGAAAATCTAACAATAGGTGAACTTTTTTTAGAATGTTAGGAATAGAATATCATTATTATTGTTTCCATTCTGTAAATCAGTTACCAATCTTTTTTTTTTTTTTTTTAAGATTTATTTATACAGAACCGGGGTACAGGCCAGATGCAGGGGAGGGTGAGAGGATTCACCAGAGACAGAGCGGGGAACAGAACAGGCAGACTGACTGAAATACACTGCTGAGGGGAGCAGCAGGCGAGACAGAAGAGGTCTGCCGCGCTTTGTGAGATTCTCGCCAGCCAGGATCGAGCCCACATTGCAGAGGCTGTGGACAGCTTCACAGCGCTGTGCTCAACTGCCTGCGCCACCAAGGAGGCTCTATTTATTTATTTTAATTGTACTGACTTGCCAATCGATTACAGCCTTCTACCAGTAGACAGGCTGTTCCTTAGCCAAGAGTAAAAGAGTCAAGTGTTAGAACCTCCCAACATGCTCTCAAGGTTCATTTTTTAATTGGTATTTTGTTAAACATGTTTCTTATTTTCTTTTTGTTGAGTTGTGTGAGTTCTTTGTAAATCTGTCAGATGTATGATATGCAAATATTTTCTCCCATTTAGTTGGATGTCTTTTTGTTTTAATAATATTTTCTTTGTGCAGAAGCTTTTTGGTTTTATGTAGTCCTATTTACTTTCGCTTTTGCTTCCCTTGCTGTAGGAGTCAAGTCCTCAACTACATCACTGATGCCAGTGTCATGGAGTGTTTTATCCTTTTTCTTCTTAGACTTATCATCCAAGTCTTTAATCCATTTCTAGTTAATTTTTGTATATGTGTGAGACAATGGTCTAGTTTTATTCTTTTGCATGTGACTATCCACTTTTCCCAACACCATTTGTTGAAGAGACTTTCCTTTCTCTATTGTGTTCTTTTAGCTCCTTTGTCATAACCGTCCACATAAATGTGGGTTTATTTCTGGCCTCAAGATTTAAGAAAACATATTTCATAAGTGTAATAGAAAAATGGCTAGTCTATGTTGTAGAATATGTCAGAATTTCCTTCCATTTTTTAAGGCTTAATA